TGCTAAAATTGGAAAGTCTCATCTAGGGCGTGACATCAGAGTTCTATAATTTCTCTCTAAAAAAGCATCAGGAACCACAATGGCAACAAAGAATTAAGAAGAAAATAAAAGCAGCCTCTTTAATGGAGAAGGGCTCCCATTAAGTAGTTACACTACTAAAATTCTATCAACAAAAATGAACAAACCGACTTGCAGGATGGGAAGTAAAATCTGTACTGAACCAGTTTCCAAGAGACCAGGAGGGACTTTTTTTAAAATCATTGGCAACAACAAGGAACACATGATCAATCAGGAAAATAATAACAGAAGCTATTACTAAAAATAGTTTCCAATGACAGTGCGGAGTTGGGGAAAATCAGTAAGGAAATCTCTCCTGCTGTTTCAATAATACAGGGACAGAGACCTGATAATGAAAATTGATAACTCGAAGATAGCATTCAGCATAAAAATGGAAAATAATTGATAATTAATACTATTGCATGGGGAATGTATGGTCCAGAAACACAGATGACCTTCAGTAACACCTACTTCATGCTGATTCGAGAATAGTTGAACTTGAATTTTAACTCCATTTAGATTTTCATGTCTATCAGAGGAGAAATTTGGCTTTTAAGATTTCAGAGTCTTCAGCTGTTTCACAACCAGGCTGAATCTGAAAGTGTACTTGCTGACTGCAGCTTTAGTTTCTAAAGCAGAGGCTGCACACTTGCAGAGTGCCAAGCAGGTAACATGAATGAGTGAGGCCCACTGCGTGAGGATTGTGGGAACCCGGAGAGAGAACAGCCCAGGGACAGAGGACTGAAGGATGCTTTTCAGCTTGTTGGAAGAAAGCAAGCCTGGTGTTGTCAAGTCTCATTTTTCAAGATAAACTTTAAAAATCCATACTTCTATTTGAATCTCCAAGTTATATAAGCATTGGTTAAAAAAATATATCAAGCATTATTTTAAAACTATGGGGGTCGTATACATCAATAAACTAAATCCAACACACAGGCTGCCATATGGTCATCTCAGAAAAGTCTCTATTTTAAGTAAACCTCATAAAGGTAAGAAGGGCTGTTTTGTTGCTTTGTTTTGTTTGGGAAGTATGATGATATAGCCATATACGCCAAAAATCAGATGACTTTTTACATGAAGATAAAGTCCCATGGTTTGCAAGTAAGAAATCTAAACTGAGTGAGAAAAACTGGATTATAAAGCTTTACTCAACACCCCAGTTTCAGAAGGAATACTAGATTTCTCAAGAAATGAAAGGGAAAATGAGGGAAATCTAGCAATTATTTTCTTTATTTCTAAAAGGTAAGAGAACAAAATAATTTCTACTTGCATTTTAGGTGAGAAGAAGCACTAATGTAACCCAGTCTGGTTATGGACTTACTATTCAGTGCTCAGAGGGAATTAAAATCATTAATGAGACTACATTTCAATGAGATAATAGGCCACTAAAGACAACCCTATAAAAGAGATTCAAATAAATATGTCCTCCTTTCTCTTTTTCTTAACATATGGTAAAAATAAACATCACCAACAAAAAACACCCCAAAGAAAACAATTAATAGAAGATGTACCATAGGTGAATATTCTGTCAATTTCAGCTTTTACTCACTCCAAGAAACCCTTATTGTCCACTTTTATTTTATTCCAAGGCAAATTGATAAGGACATTTTCTTTCCATTAGCCTGTCTTTTCCATTTCTACACCGCACTGATTCTCATTTCTATTTACAGAGAAGAAAACTCATATATGCCTGTATGACACCACACCATATTAGTTAGTTGCCAAACACAAATGCAAATACTGAACTATTTCCCAAATATCAAAATAAAGGCAGAAAGACCGTATTTGTCAAAGCACACATTGCAGATTATATCTTGCAGTATTAGCTTGAGGACTCTTCTGTTTACTTTGTATGCATTCTCCCCAAGACTGAATTATAAGATTTCCCATTCTGGCTGGTGAGGACAAGAACTCTCCTTGGCCATGTGTAACTTCCAGGTACTGGTCCCTCTAATCCTTCCCAGTGGTTCTTTCCCTCACCTGGGGTAGCTTCCCCATGCACATGAGTCTGAAAACTGTAGACCTCAGCAGATCTCCAAGGTTCTGTCTCTGTGCAGCTCTCCTCTGGGACGTTCTGCCCTATGAATAGCCACTTGAACCCCTCTGGGCTCCCAGCCCCTCCCCTCAACTCAGGGAACCCCTGCAGGCTCACCTGGCTGCCTCTCCCTGCACCGCAGTCTGGAAGTTGGGCAGGTGGTCAGCAGGGACAGTCGTGGGGCTCCCCTCATGTGTTTCTTGTCTCTCAGGGATCACTGCCTTTCCTTGTCTGATATCCAATGTCCTGAAAACTGTTGTCCAATATAGTTTGTTCTTTTCTAGATGTTTCAGGCAGGATAATATACCTTGTCTCTGTCACCCCATCTTTGCTTGCATAGAAATTTGGTTTTTTTCTTCTTTCATATGTATAATTTTAAGAGTAAGAGTCTGTTTTCTCCCCACATTCATTACTCTTTGAGATTTCTATTGCCTCATTAAATAAACATATTGTAAACTCAAGGTTAGTAAGTGGTACCAGAATAAGTTAAACCAGTGTGGCCACTAGCAGAATCTAATGTTAAGTCTTTTTGTTTTGTTTTATTCTCTTTAATTAGAACCTGTGACTCCCTGTCACTTTCTCCCACTCTAAAAAGACAAGATACACAGGGAAAGATAGTAAGATACTTCTTATGGCTTTGAGCGACACTTAGTTTTAAAACAGGCTCAGGTTCTAGACATTAAGATGACCTGTATCAAGAGCTGCAAAAATTAAGTTTATGACTTATTATACCAACCAATGTATGACAAGCTCAGGAAAACTGTATATAGTTTACAGCAGCAAGAAAAAAAGACGGAGCATAGGAAAAAGAAACTCCAAGAATGACTCAGAAGACACTGCAGATTTCCAAAAAGTAATGTCACCATACATTGCACACACAGCCCTAGGGTATTAGTAGATACACAGCAGCCTTCTTTTAAAAATCAAGAATTGTAACTTAAAACTCAAAATTAAGTGTATTATATAGTTTATTGTATCAAACTAGAAGGGTAGAGCTAAAATTCTTAAGCCAAACTATAAATACCTTTCCATGAAACAGTCCAGGACCTATTATTCAAAATAAAACTTCTCAGTTTACTTTTGCTTTTCCAAAAAGATACTACGGGGGGAAGTGAAAGATATACAAACAATGAAATTTTTTCAGAAATTCTGACTATTCTGAAGGAAATAAATATTAAAATAAACACATGAAGCCATCTAAGATAATATATAAAGAAAAAATGAAATTCTCAGAACAACTGGCAATGGTCTATCTATGCCAAGTTCCACTTTTAAAATGGACTTCTTACTCTTCAAAAACATTTTGTACTTAATCAATAATTCAAGCAAATTTAATTAACTACATCCCAGATGAAAACAAAATAATGTCGGATTTTACTAAGCGTATTCCAGGGTTTCCCTTCATGCTTGGAGAAAAGCTGCCACATAATTGACTTCTTACCCTGGAAGGCTGATTGCCTTACAATCTCAGGTGCTTCATGTCAACGGGAACCCAGATTAAGATATTCATTCCTGTGACCTGGAGACAGGCCCGCAATGGGGTGCAAAGTCTAGCAAGCTAAAGCCAATGCTATTACTTGACTGAACATAAATGGAACTTGCTTATTGAACAGCCTGAACTTGATGTGGACAGAAAAATAAAACAGCTTCCTTTTTCTCAATTTTCTGCCTTTCAGTTCATTCTGTTGCATCCTGATTCTTCAATGAATGAGCAACATCTTAACTTTCAGAGAGGGAATAGTCCCTTTACTGCTCATTACAATTCACTTTTACTACTACATGTTTCAGTCTCGTCTAAAATCAAACTTCAATGTCGCATTCAAATTTTTTTTTTTTAATTCACATCAACGGGTGTGCATGGTCTGATTCTTCCCTCTCTCCATCACCTCCTTTACTCTCTTTCTACCTGCTGGTTCTGCAAAATTGGCAAGGGCAGTGGGAGTAAAGATTAGAGGTAGAGGAGTAAGACAGTGACACCTCTCTGGTTCATCTTGTTTAACACAAGTGGTTGTCTTGCTCTCCATTCTAGCAATCAGTAGTTGCTGATTCTTTCACAGGACGTGTGTGTGTGTGTGTGTGTGTGTGTGTGTAGGCACCTCATAATTTCTTAGCATGGGTATTTCACTAATTCACTTGCTTCCGGTGGGGGTGAGGAAGTGCAGGGGTTATACTGTAATGACTTCTTTCTCAGATCCAGACCGTGGGGAATCATCCCAGATTTCCCTAACTCCCTCCGTCAGGAAGCCCTCCTGGGCAGGACTCCCCTCAGCCGCTTGCTCTAGTATGCAGTTAGCTTATGCAAACTGAGACATCCTTTCCAGGCAAAATTCTAGATACATTAGCCTTTTCTAGTCCTGCAGAATTCTGTCATCTGAAGCATCTCTAGTAGATTGCCATGAATTTCCATGAATTCAGAAAGTGGGAAGCAGATATTAATTTATATTAGAGGTGGATTTATCATAACTGTAAGGTAGTTTAAGCTCAGGGCCCCTTGCAGGAGCCTCTTCCAAATCTCTGAAAAGGGTGCTAGCAATGTATTCACGTAGTCAAGTAGTTTGTAACATTTGCAAAGGTAATATAAGGAGTAATATAATTAAACCCCACATTGTATACACTTCAGGCCCCACAAAACTTGGATCTTCTCCAAGCACTCTCTGTAATGACTTATGCTCACCAAACTCATGTCACCTTCTCATAAGAACTCTCACTAGGATCTCTCCTCTAAAGAGGAGATCTTTATGGACTACACATCTTCTATGGAATAGGAATGAAGAAGAGCCCCAGGACAGCAAACTCCCCAGCAGGCTGACACACTCTACATTAATAAATCTCCACAACAGCCTTCCAAATGAAAGTTGGCAATGGGGGTTAATATTCACTGAAATTTTGCTATCTTTTTTTTTTTTAATGGAGGTGCTGGGGATTGAACCCAGGACCTCAAGCATACGAGGCATGAGCTCTACCACTGAGCTATACCCACCTCTCCATCTTTTTGGAAGTCCTAGATGAACATATCTAGCACCACCTCATGTTATAAGGCATTTATCACTTAGGAATTTCTGCTTTGGAGCTTCAGCCTGAAAACGCAAGGCAATAAGGAAATTTTCATGTAACTCCCTATTATGATGAGCATTCACCTGACCCAAGGCAGGCTTTCAGTGTACCACTGACTCAGGCTTTTCCATCATCCAAAAGACACCCTCAACTTAAAATAAAATTGCTGAAAATATTCAGAAGGATACATTTGTTTTATATTTTATCTTATTTTCTTGGGGGGAAACAACATATTTTCTCTTTAAGAGAAAGCAGAAAGATGTTTGTTCACTGAAATGTTTATCATATCTCAACCAGAAGCAAAATACTAGGGACTAATTTTACAGAAGTTAAGGATCTATGCTTTTTAAATTTCAATTTATAATTAATACAGAGTTAAAAAAATCATTTGAGAATTAGGTTTAAGGGTAGGTAGCCAATTCAGTAACAGGTATATAACACAGTAACTAAAAAAAAATGTTTGATTTTGTACTTTTTAAAAAAAAAAGGTAAAGTGGAACCTGCTAGGGATAGAATCTGCTTCAATACTCAAAGTGGGTTCTTACCATAGGTAAACCGGCTGGTTTAATCCCTAAATTTGTATAAGGAAAGTAGGTTTGGAGAAACAAAATGTATACAAATCAATAGGTTAAATGAAAACTCAATAGCAAAGCTTTCATTTGTTTGCTTTTTCCAGTGTTGTGGTGGGTAGACTTGGCCTCTGGTTCCTAGAAATGCGCTAAACATCTGGTTTTTCTCCCACTTTTAAAATAAGTCAGTGATAAAAGCTAAATGTGCTTTTGTACTTTCCATCCTTGATTAATCCCTGGTACTTTCAAGTGATCTGTAAATAATACATGCTTTTGAATGATATCTTGCCAGATTGTTCTTAGCAGGCCCAGAGCTACACACTGAATTCTGATGGGCAGTTAGTGAAATAATGCGAAGGAGGCAGAAATGAACAGCTAATGAGCTACTTGGGATGCCAGCCCGGCACTGCGTCCAAGAAAAACTTCAAACCAAGTGGTAACACAAAGGGGGAAAAAATGATTAAAGCCACAAATCTTCTGAATTCTGTTCCAAAATATGACCCTGTAAGATGTTTTTATGTTTCTAAAGAGTCCACTGAAGTCTGCCATTGTCTTTCTTTTATCTAAACACCAGTAGGTAAGAAAAGTGTGGACTGCCATGAAGAAAAGGGAGTGAGGGTTGGGAAAGAGAAAACCCATCAATACTATGCTAATTAGGAAACAATGACCAATTCCACAGCAACAAAATTGTCCCAGGATATCTAGGGCGTTTCAAAGTTTAAAATACAAACATATGCAGAATCAGGCAAGGCGGCAAAAACTCACTTCCTACGAAGATTTATCTCTTCAGTTTCATAATGGCAGAAAAAAAATAGTGTACTATTAGCACTTGTTAACCTATTAAGTAGGTATCTCGGCTTATTTCACAAGGTAAGGCAAAATTTTTATTCTAATTTAAAAAAAATTAATCTAAGAAATTATTCACAGCTCAAAATACACAATTCCTAAAACTCTTCCAGTTGTGAAAAGAGTCAGAGGAGGTTTTGACCAAAGCAATGGAGAGAGAATTGCCTAGGAAATGTCCTTTCCCAAGTACAGTGTAAAAGCCTCTCCAGGAGAAAGCTCTGTTAGCCCTTCCTCCTCCGCCTTCTTGCTGCTTGTAACTCTGAAATGATGCCTCAAAACGCAGCAGCCGCCATGACCACTAGCAGGAGAGACACATGTCAAAGATGGCACAGCAAGAAGACAGGAGGAGTCTCAGTCTTTAATGACATCCTTGAGCAGCTGGACCAGCCTGTCTGCCAGCTTCTGAACATCTTGTTACAGATAAAAAATGAAGCTCTAGCTGCTGAAACTACTGCGGTGGTTGGATTTTCTACTATTTACAATCAACTACATGCCTAATTCATACAGTATCATTGAGGAGAAAATATATTGCAAAAATAAATCAAGCTTTCTGATGTAAAGTTATTCTGATTTAAAATCATTTCATTACAGTCTGCTTTATAATAAAACCTTAGTTATTCTTACTCATCTGTTTTTAAAAAACTGATTTGTATCGTAGCTATGGCTCTAGATATGGAATGTTTTAGTCCTCAGTCCTTGATTCTTATTGATGGTGAGGAGTCAGAATAGCCAACTTTTATTGTCAGTCTTATGCTAATATAATGCTTTACAGGTGGTGGTTTATAAAATGACTAAGCTATTGAAAACACTTCCAAAAATACAGTGCAACAGAATTTTTAAAAAATCCTAAGTCAAGTAGGAGTTAAACATACAGCTGTTGATAAAATAAGACCTAAGAGGAATATTCTGAACACTGAATACTATACCCAGGTTCATGGACCAACAAGAGGAACTGATTTAAATGACCACGGCTGACTCGGGTAAAGGAAAGCGGCTGACTCTTGTTAGTACCTTATGACATTTGATAACATTTAAAATTAAAAGATAGGTGAAATTCCTCTATATCTAGTTGGCAAAGGTAATTATAAAAACTACAAATTGGAGATGTAATTCTTCCAAACTGGCATAAATAAATACAATTTTCAATTCAATCTAGTCATGCTAAACCTGCACTGGTCAATTAAAAACCTGCTGAAACTAAGGAAGGCTTCATTTCTGGTTCTCATTAATAAATTTTCATTGTAATTTCACATAAGGGCTCATCCTTGGTCAATAGCTTTAGAGAATTAGTCTAAGAAAATTGGTATAGATTACATATGTTAATACATTAATAGTTTTCAAAAATGAGTTCACTTAAGGACTAATGACATTGATGACAGCAATAACAGTTAGTAATTTTACTGGGTGGCCTTGAAGTATCAGATAATATTCCAAGCATGCTCACTACTACATTATCTTATTTTAAATTTGTTTGTATGATCTCCCATCTACCGAAATACACACACACACAAAAGAGATAGGAATGATTTCTGCCTTCATTTTACATTTAAAGATATCAAGACAGAGGAAAATTAATCAACTTTCCCAGAATCATGCGAGTAATACACGGCATATAGTCTTCAAAACCAGGCAATCTTACTCTGATGTCTCTACCTATAATCAATCGCTATGTGAGTTAACTCTCTGAAATTCAACTGCCCCATCTCCTCTACCAACTGACATATTTGAAAATCAGCAGGTTGAAATATCATGCAACACATTCTTCTACAGCCAGTCAGCTGTGCAAATACTGAGTTTTTTTTTTTTTTTTTTTTACTAAGAATGACAAATTTGTTCCAGTGGTTCCAGGAACCAACCACATAAATTCCCAGAAAGTGAAGTCAAATCTTTGGTGGATTAATAGGGAAAAGGCTTACTGTAACATGACAACAGTTTTGAGAACATATGATTTTTTAGATATTCCCCTTCCAAACTGACATCAATAAAAAGTAGTCCAGACATTTACATGGTCACCAGCATCAGAGGAGAGTGTTTTAAAATACATAGAGATAAGCACATAATATGGTGGATAAAAGTCAGCCACAAAGCTGTTTCTATAAAGGGGAAGAGTAACAGCAGTTTCACTGGCTGTAACTACACTGTTAAAAAATACACAGTCACAATGAATAACCAAAGATATATTTTTACTAAACATATATATGCAAAATGACACAAAATACTATTGAAATTTTGATGCAACCAGAAGAAGAGTTACAGAAACATAACTGAGAAATAATGACATAAATAAAATACTAAGAAGATGAAAATGATATGAAAAATGATATTAAGACATTTCCACTCATCAAAATCACTATATTTTATATATTATGGCAATTAATACTTTCAAAAAATATTTATTTCCCTTTGCCTTAGCAAAAACCAGGATAAGGACTATTATTCATATGTTGTAAAGAAAGAAAATTTTATTCAAGACTAATATTTGACTTGGCAAAGATAACGTGGCCAGTTAGGGGCAGAGCTGGACTATGACTCAGCGTTCTTTCTCCCACAGTAACTGGCCATGCAGGTATAAGAGGAGGGTGGGGTATAACCAGTGGTAGAGTGCATGCCTGGCAAGTACAAGGTCCTGGGTTCAATCCCCAGTACTTCTACTAAATAAATAAATAAACCTAATTACCTCCATGAAAAAAAATTTTTTTAAGACTATTCTAAATGCCATTTTAAAATGTTAATACCTTGTATAATGTCTGTGCTCTAGTTTTCAGTATAATCAAACTTTTAATGTGAGACCAAATAAAAGAACTTACAGTATTCTGTAAACACAGAAAGGTGCAGCTTTTGAATAAATTTGGTTGATACTCTTCCCATAGATTAAAATAATTTTCAGGTTATTGGCAGATCTGTGTAGATTATACCACATAGTTAATAAAAACTATGTTAAGAGTATTGTCAAGAGTTAGTGAAATAAAGTTTGACACAGGAAAATTAATCAAATATCTCTAGGGAAAAATACGGGAATTAGAATTGTGTAAGTTTATGTTTTTAAATTGGTGGCACAGGAGTGAGGGGTAGTGAAAAATGGAAGACAGTGAGTTGGAGGGCCTTTTCTTATACAGGACTTCAATTTTGCAATGCATGGTCTATACATCATCTCTTTGAATTCTTAGAATAATTTGGAGAAGTAAGTGGAGAAGGTACTATTACTATTTTTCAAAAAATGGAAACATTCAAAGAAAAGACATCTTCCCAAAGCACCCAGGTAGTTGGTGGAGGATGCAAGATATAAAAAGTAGAAAGTAGCAGAAGACAAGTCTCCAAAAGAGAATAAATAAACATTTATTGTCTGCCTAGTGAATGACAGAGCAGGCAAGTGACCAAAACCAGTAACAATGTGCAAGATTTCATTTTCAAAAAAACAAAAGGCTGTCACTGATATTATTACCAGTGAAGTGATATTTCTTGAAGGAGATTTTTGAATGTCTAAGAAAATTTTTTTTGAAACATGAGCCAT